AGAGCGGCTCAAGTTAAGGACCAGGGGTTTGGTTCGAGCGTTGTTCGAGGCCGGTGACAGAGCTTCCAGGGCAGAGTGTGCGAAAGGAAAGGGCATCAGAGCTTCCGTGGAATTGTGACGCAAACTGTCGGGTTAGCCTGCATTCTGGACTCGTTTGGCTTTAGGATAGCATGTGGGGCAGGAAGTTTAAGCACGTGATGATTGCCACGAAAGGCTGACTCCAAGTCTCCAAGGCTGAAGATGTCTGTTGATCAATCCATACATCCGTGCTGAAGTGGCTTGACAACTCGCGTCGGCGTTCAGGCCATTATACAGCCGGCTGCCTACAAATGGTCCCGCTCTCAGTGCTGTTGGCTGGCCTGTGCAGGGGCGAGGATCCAATCTTGCAGTCGTAGCGCTTATTCAGCCTCATTCCGTGCAAGGAGGCGATGGCTGCAACAGCACTGACATATATACTGAGGCGTAAGCAGCAAGGCGCAAATAATTGTGATGGACAGGACGAGGAATGAGCACTCGCTTTTCATGCCGTTTTGCCGGTCACATGACATGAAGAAGTACAGGGTTAGCCATATCCCAGGTCTCGCAGTCTTACAAAGTACAAAGTCTTATGACGAGCTGCGCGCCGGATACGTACACGTCGCCGCCATGGTGCCCATGTTTTGCTTGTTGCCTCTTTCTTTCGGGTCTTGAACTTTGTTGTTGATCCCATTCCGACATCTCCTAAATAAGAATTTCAACCTGCTCCTGCCGTGGTCCTGTCGCTGATGGGAAGAATGTAGCGAATGTAGCGACTGTGTAGTCCTTCGGGTTTCGGGTTCTCCATTGTAACTATAGTATCGTTTGGGTACTGCCCCTAATACAGCAACAGCCTATAATAGGGCTACGACTAAGGTCCTAGTATATCTGTCCTATGCTTATTATTCAACTGTTACTGTGTGGGGGCACTACCCAAATTATATTTTTAGCTGATTCTTAGGGATTATAATAACCAAAATTTAGAAATTATAGTATAACAACTCTTCTCATTCTTTGTAGCAGCCGATCTCCAGTTCCTGCGGCCAGGGAACGACTCGGGCCCAGATGTCGAGGTGGGGCCTTGATATTTAAGATAAGATGCGATTATAGGAACAGTAAACCCTAAACCCTAAGCCCTAAATCCTAAACTCTTACCTAAACCCTAAACCCTAAACCTTACGGCATGCATTGAAAGATGTGGTTGAGTTTGGCTTTGGGTGTCGTGCATCTTTGCTGCTTCACAGTTTTGCAGCTCCTTCACGTGCAGATGTATGCTTCCGGGCAAGTTATCGGGCAAAGCAAAATCGTATGTAGTCAGCACCCCTGAACAGCAAACCCTAAACCCTTAAAGCCTAAACCCTAAACCCTTAAGTCCTAGACCCTTGAATCCTGAACCCTAAACCCTAAAATCTTAAACCGGAGTCAAAGGTGCATTACACTTAAAAAACCCTAAACCCTGAACCCGCTTCCTTTTTTCGTGCTTCCACCACGCAGAAGCGAAGCCCGCCCCGATCGCCGGCAAAGTCGGCGAGGTCCAACCGGGAGCGGAGGCCCGGTCTCCTAGAGACTCCAATAATTGAGGAATATCCTTTACATTAGAGTATCATGCCTAGTATGATTTCAGGAATATTCCTTAATCAAGGGATGTTGGAGTCTAACTGACAGTGAACGCCAGTGGGGTAAGTGTGTTAAGTTTGGCAATGTTTAGTGTGCAGAGCTTTGCGCGTCTCTTAGATCTTGCTTCTCACGTGAAGCTTTTAATCTTCAAACGTTTGCGCCACCTTGTCGTGATCCCTCTCAAAGTTCTTGCTGCGAGTACCTGGTCGAATATGCCCAGAAGCCACTTACGATTTAGGCTTTAGGGTTTGCAGGAAGCCTAGTCAGCAGCAGCTAGCTCGATGGCCTCATATACAGCTGTGAGCAAGCCGAAATCATAAATCGAGCGGCATGCAAGCCTGGAGACTGTTGACATGGCCACGAGGAAAATGCTCGTCACGAACGACGAAAGCATTGTTCGGTCCGAGTTTGTGACCCAGGCCGCATCGGGGCCCATACACCGAATCCCTGCACCGTGCACTGACTGGTCAAGTTTTGTTGCGTAGATTCGGGAGTCTAGGGACTACGATGTATAGCCAATGGCGGATTCAATAGCGTCCAGGTCCTAGCTCAGCGCTCTGCGAGCCACGTATACCATGCTGTTACATGCTGTCAAGAGTTCCATATAGTGGCACGGCGTCGGTTTCATCTGCAGCTTGCAGGCAGGTGTTGTAATGTGCTACTGGTATGTAGAGCGTAGCTATGCCACGACATGTTACGCTGCATGGGCACGGCAGATTTGGTCTAAACGTGACGCACGGACATGAAGCGGCAACCTTGTGGTGTTTTTTCGGGATGGTATGGGTATATGTCCCACAGGGTCAGTAGAGCCGAAAGACGTTGTCTTTATTGTGTGATTCGCTGCCATACGATCGGTAGGGTAGGACTAATCTACTCAGGTGTTTGCGTAATTGCTACTGTTGCTGTTCGTCGCTTGTATTTGCCGCTGTGCGGCATAGGTGGTTCTTGGTTTCTACTTGCCGTGGGCCAGGTGGAACAGGACACTGTTTCGAAGTTCCAATCACAGAAAAACCGGTAAGACAGCAACGGTATTTGCATCATACAAGCATTGTTATGCCCAGAAGAGGCTTCGGGAAAGACTGCTGGGGTGCGCTTTGTGATTTCCTAGACCAAACACAGAGCGTCACCGCCTACTAAGACAATCCTCATGAGCATATGTCACTCGCTTTTTCAGGTCCTGCACAGATGCGCCCACGTAGTTTTCCATGCCGCAGAGCCCGCTACGAAATAAATCATGTTTGTTCTGATGCATCACAGGTAGCACAGAAGAAGTAAAACATGCTTATCTTCCCACGCCACAACAGTCCCCTCCCAACCCTTAACCTAAATCCGGAACCCTACAATCGAAACCTGACGCTCGAAACCTTACCCGCGAAACCCTAAACCCGAAACACTACGTAGTGTCATCTTGCGAAGTCTTGGCTCAGGCAGCCGAGCTTTTCCCAACTTGTGGAAGCTCTCTGAAGGCCTGGTGTTGGACCAGTGTAGGGTTCAGGGTTCAGGATTTAGTTTAGGGTTTAGGGAGCCGCATCTTAAACCAAGCCTCTGTCTCTGCATCGTTTATCTACTCTGCCTTATGCACTATAAGCATGAGTTTACACGTTACATACACCCATACACAAGAAACATCAACACTCACAGATGTTTTTAGCGGAATTTACCAGCATCCACGGCAGTGTCCAAGGATATAGCCCTTTCTGGAGGTTGGTTAAGCACTGCACGTCGGAACTGCGTTGATAGACCTGGAGAGACGCATTCAGATTGCTTTCCGACGCGGGTCCACAGAGCCGGAAGCTTTGTGCGCCAGTTATTCTGCTCAGCCGTAGTGGCCCTTAATAATAAACATAATAATATTTCCTATATAGTATATTCCCGTATTCCCTATAGTTCCTAATTAGGCAGCAGCCCACACCCAAGTCACCCAAGGATCATGAGAGCCGAAAACAATGAATGGCTGCAGTTTGGCCTGATACTAGTGAAATGAAGCTTGGGTGTCGCACGTGAGAAGCAGACCCGACTCAGCCCTGTGCCAGGAGACTTTCACGGGCCTGGGAATTGTTGCTTCGAGCCTTCGCTGAAAGAGGGACGGTTGACGTTTATGGCTTACGGCTCTTGAGTGCGGGCTGTTCGTTGGAGTGCAGGGGTCCAACATCGACGACAGAGACGACGACTTCCACGGCTGCTGCATCCACGACGACGACGACGAAGACGACGAGACGATGACGAAGACGAGGAGGAGGAGGACGACGACGTCGACGACAACGATCACGGTCAAAAAGAGGAGTGTCAGGACCGTATTCTGGCCATTGCTACCGCAACAACATCACGACAAGAACTAGGACACAGCGAAAGCATTTAGAGTGGGGCACATCCAGGGTGAGTGTCCCTGATGGTTTCGAGGGCCTGCAGCTGACCTTGTAGCTTACGGTCTGTTTGAACGACTTGGTGGTTGTTTTCAAGAATGTTGTCATGTTTCAACTATTGCTATTAATTTTGCTCTTATCCTCGTACGTAACACTTTCCTCATTTCAATTCCGAACGCATCTCCCCAGCCGTGAAGAGGCTGGGCACTAAAAGGGTGGCTTTCTATCGAGCTTTCGACATGCGGCTTCAGCGGCGTCCCTTCGCTCGCAATGTAGATCCCCTATTAGGCATCGGTTTGGGATGGTTTCCGATTCTTGTTGTTAAGAAAGAAGGGCCCTAAGTATAAGTAATGTTGGGGACTGTTGAAATCAACACCTAGCCTAGCTGCACTAACGATTGTTGAGCGGCTTCTTGGCTGAGAGCTTTACACCTTAAACCCTAAACCCTACAACCTAAACCCTGGTCCCCATACCCTAAACTAAACCCCAAACCCTATACGCTGAACCGTAAACCCCATACCCTAAAACTAAACCCCAACCCCTATACCCTAAACCCTGAACCCGAAGACGCTTCAAACCCAAGAGTTTGCCAAAGCCCAAGACCCGAGGTTTTGAGATCTGAAGCTGAAGCCTAAACCCAAAATCCTGAACCTAAAACCCTAAACCCCACATCCTAAGCCCTACACCCTAAATCCTAAACTCTAGACCCTAAATCCTACACCTTGAACCCCAAACCTTAAACGCCTTCAAGCCCGAAGTCCTGCGAAACCCCGAGCCCGAAGACCCAAACATTCCCGGACCCCGAATGCAGCAAGACGCGAATGTCGAGAGGTGTTGCTCAAAGCCGAATATCGTGATCCTAGTGCAGGGCTGTAGGGTTTAGGGTTTTGCGGCTATTTGGTGTTAGGTATCGTCTTCAATTGATGATCTGATGTTCAATCCTGAGCCTAAGCACTCCCTGCACTGAGGGCTCCGACTGCTGTGAAGCTGAGGATTTACACCGAGATGCCCCCGCGACACCTAATGCACTTCCTCTTCGTCTTCTTCTCTTACCTCCTCGTGGTTTTGACAGGAGCTGCTTCCTGGACGCTAGGGTGCTGGGATTTGAAACTCGAAGGTTTCGTATCTTGCTCCCAGCGTCGAAGTGCCAAATAAATGACTCCTTTCTACTCCTGGCCACTCGCTTCAACCGTCGCCTCGTTTGTCGCCCAGCTTAGGTTCAAATGCAGCTGGTGGACACCTCCTTTTTCCGGGTGCCTGGGGCAAATGTGCAACAGTTAAGATTTGAGGACGATGTGGTTGTTGCCATCTTAGATATGTCATCGCGGCGATTGGTCACCTCAGAAGCAGCTTGAGAATTCTTAGCGGTGAATGAGTAAGCGACGACTTTCGATGGAGAGGTTGTATCCATGTGTCTCTGTGTCAATGCGGTGTGGTGGGTGCTTCTGCGACTCTGATGTCGGCTCCCGCAAGAGCAGGGTTGCCGTGCAGGCGAAGCTTGCTAGGATTTTTGCCCTAATGTTCACGAACGTATGGAAACGCTTTCAGGGATAGTCTTCCGGTGAGTTTCCGAGGCAAACGGACTTCAAAACTTTCGAAGGTCCCCCCCTTCACCCCCGCCAAGTCCAGGCCGTCGGTCTTCTCCTGGCCGTCCTGCTGTCGCTGCGTGCGAAGAATGCGGTTTCAAGGCGACAGAAGCTTATGGCAGGCCCGCCCGGCCCGGGCAGGGTGATCATGATATTATGATGTTGATATAAGGAAAGAACAAGTGGTGATGGTGTATAATGGGGGATGGCAAGAGCTAGTAGGCGGCAACTAAGACATAACAGGAGACCCAAAGATATACACCGACATAGTGACAGGCACAGTAAGACACTGGAAATGTTTCTCTGTTTTGAGAAAATGTTCAGCTTAGTGTTCATGGGGCAAGGGAGTAAAGGCTTCATAAGGACATCCACGGCTATTCAACTATTCTTCTTGGCTTCGGCAGGGCAGCCTCGTAGGGCGGCACCTTCGTCAGACAATGTACTACGCGACATCATGCTGATGAGCTTTGGCCACAACGAATCTGGATGTCTTGGCCAACCCTGGATACTTGTGAAAGCTCTATGTGCGCAGCGCAGCAGAATGGCCAGATTGGCACAGTATCTCTCACATTTTATTGCAGCAGCCCCAGACCACAGGCTTGATTCTAAAGCCACCTGCAGCAGAACCCACGATGTTGACAACACACCATGCTGCCGCAGGTGTGCTTGACATGACGCTCGGCTGCAGTGGCCCTAGCCGCCCTAGCCTGGACCTGCTTTGGCGTTGAATCCCTAACGGGTTGACTCATGCATGACTTTCTGGCGCCCTCTTCGCCGCTTGCAACCTCCTAGTATCTACTGACAACTTGCTCGGATTTGCTGCAATCCAAACACGATGGTGATGCTCAGAGAGACCCTGTTGTGACCGGATATGGACCGTATCTGCCCTATCGATGTGTTGTTAGGATTGGCGGGCATCGGTGCAATCGTATTGACCAAACCATACTCGTCTGGTCAGTGTCGTATCTGCAGATTTGGCTTCCTCCTGCTCGTTCTCCTGCCCTCCACTTGTCTCAAGGCCACTCCATGTGGCGGGTCTTTGATTTTATCCCCTGTGCGCTTGCATAGCTTTCATCATGGGATATAGGTCCTCTGACCTCACGCTCCACGCTTGTGCGTGGATTGCATTGGCTCTGGTGATTCTTGTCTTGAAGAGCGATCGAAGGATGAACAGCGCAAAGAATCTCCTCTACTTGCTCCACTTCGAGCCCAAGAATCAACTCCGTCTTCGACGGATGCTGGAATTCTGCTTCATGGAGGCCGGACTTGATCCTCTTGTCAACGTGGTTGTTGTCACTGTTGACAAACATGCTTTTGATCGTGTTCGTTATCGCTGCAACAGCTTTTCATGGTTCTGTTCTGAATCGATCCATCCGCCACATCTGGGAAAAAATCAAGACGAGACACGGATCTGCTCATGCCTGCTTCAACGCTTTTGTCGTCGTGGGTCATTTGATTGACTCTGGCATTTGGTGGTCTCCAATCACCAATCGATCAAAGCTCCCTGGAACTCACATCCTTCATCACGAAGGAGTTGGGTTCAGGGCTATTCTCATGTCTAGCATGAGCATCAGTCTTCGTTTTAGTACTAGCATTTGCATTTTTCCCGATTCAGGTTGCAGCTTGGGCCGCGCCGAGTGCAGATGGCGACACTGTCAGCCTGGACATCCTTCCAGATGAATACCGGGAGGCACGGCAATTTCTCGACTAGGGTAGGGTTGGGGGATATACGCTATCACCATGTCTGAGGGGAGTATAAAGGAATGCGGCTACATACTCGCCGGGCTCAGAGTCTGAGGATGATTAGGCAGCGTCCAGTGTGCGGAGAGCAGTTTCTGCCAGAGTTTGCGTGGCAGTACATGGTCGGAGAGTCCCGAAATTTGGGAAGTGTATGCATGCCGTTAATCCTCGTCTCAGCGACTCCCCAATGCTCCAAAAACAGACTTCCACAGGCTGCCTTCGTACTCCGGGCCAAGCAGTCTGCGCACATCTCTCCTCGGCCCCTCTTGCTGTACCTCAGGGAGATGTGTGACCAGCTCCTTGGCATGGGGATTACCTGGGCCCTTCTTTAAACGAGGATCCAGCTTCTTGGCGCTTCTGTTTGGGTCCCGAATTGTCTAAACTCCCATGTGTTCAGAAGATGGGTAGAGGCAGCAGAGCGCAGTGCACACTCTCGTTATCGTCGGTTCCAACCGTATGTCATGCAGAGGAGGCGGGCCTCGCAAAGCTCAGACACATTGGCGGCACGCATGGTCTGCCTGGATCTTGAAGAAGTATCCCATGGCTTTCTGTAGACTGCTGCAGACATGCAGGCTCTTTGACCCGGACCTCGCGACCTCCTTCGCTGGGTCCCGGGCCTACGGATGAGTGTGGAGTGTCTTCTTGGGTCAGGTTTTGGCTACTCTCGTTTCCACGTCTTGTTGCTTTTTATTGGTATTCGCAGTTGCGTTGGTGTTAATGTGAGCATGAGAGTGTGAAGTAGCATCCTCATGCATACGACTCTTGGAGTTTGAGGGGGGGGGGGGGGCATGTCTTTCGAGATAGAAGTCTCAAAGGGCATACATTCTTGGCAATATTTTTTTTAAAACTTCGAGCTCCTTAATATCATGACAACTACCATATAGTACAATTTGTTGATGTACACCGGGGCAGCAAGCCTGCTTTCGTTGCCTTCAAGGGAGGCCTGTGCGGGGCTGATGGGATCTGAGAAAGGCCATGGCGGCTGCTGCCAACTCATTCCAGGCTTCATTCCCCAGTTGTGAACTTTGGGCCACGCAGCTTCGGTGTCGGGTTGACATTGCGACACCTCGGTGATGTCGAGAAGACTGCAGGTCTGAGAAGATGGACAAGCAGCTTATCTGCAAACCAAAGTTGGATCCGACGGACGGGCAGAACGGTACAGTAGAGGCAGCAGAATGCGCAAGCGAGGGCTTAGGGAGGCGAGGATCAAGGGACCAAGGCGGTCAGGTATTTGGCGTCGTCGCCGGGAGTCAATGTAGACGGGCATGTTACTAGATTGCTTAGAGGCTCCGTCCGAACAGATGATAACAGATTCGTTTCTGATTTGTGTCTCCGGAACGGCATCACCAAGCCGCAACCCGTAGCCCACTGCTCGAGCACAGACATGTGAGTCGCAGCGGTTGTGCACAAAGGCATTTCGTAACAGGTCTTCACAGCCGAGAAATTGGAGCGCCCAAGTTGCGCCGACTGGTTCTCACCCAAACCAGTCTAACTGTTGACTGCAATTCAGCAACCATTCCCCCTGGTGGCTTGGCGTGTTATTCCGATCTAAGCCCCAACCCTTAATCAAGCAGCCCAGGGTGTCCATCATCCGGCGATTCCACCGTAACATGGAGGATGAGCTTCACATGCTGTCACCGGATCGCAGGTCAATGGGGTGGAGGGTTGGTTAAGGGTTTAGAGAATAGGGTGTAGGCTTTAGAGTCTAGGGAAGACGAGATGTGGGGTTGAGTGTTGGGAGATGCGGGCATTTGCGAATGTGAATCCGGAGAGGATCCAAAGGTCTTGAAGCAGCTCGTCGACCGCCGACCACCAACAATGTCACCGCAAGCTCTGACATGCCCTGACTAGACTTAGCACAATGTGTGTGTACGTGTGTGCGTGTGTGCCGGTGGATTAGAGTGGTTCCTGAGACCCAGCCTGAAAACGGTGATCACGGTGGAAAAGGAACGGAGGGGCGAGGCACAGCTCATCTCGGGGTGTGGAGGACTTGTTATGAAAGCTACAGCCAAGAAGGAGAGAGGCAAGTGGCACAGTAGTGCTCTTGAGTTCAGCCAGCTAGGTTCTCGAAGTTTGACTTCCTGCTCATGTTCCGCGAGATGCTCGGCCTCATGTACTTACCATCTTGGGTGTTCCTTATTATACTTATAGTATACTATCTCACAAAATCCTATTCTGGCTATTAAGGCACCTATGGTATTGGTTTCCGGCACTCCATGGTACAGCAACAGCAGAATTATCTTCAGATGCACAGCAGCCAGTCGCGAGCTACGACGTTTCGGTGGTGCTCTGCTCTGATATTTCGGAGGTAGCCGGGAATGCGTTTTCTCATTTCGGAATCGATCGTAGGCACCGTTGGCCTTGAACATCTCCGACAGCCCCACGAAGCACACGTCCTATAGTCAAAGCAGCTCAGGAACTTCGTGACGTCGCAGTTCCGCTGGATGCTGGAAACGGTAATCTTTGTCTATGTCGTGCTATACCCCTGGTGTGTGTGGGCCCCGGTGTTGTTTGAAAGGCAGCGCGCGGCTTGGGTTGGGGTTTTGGATTGCCTCTGTTATCCTGCCGGAATCCAACTGAACCATCCCCGAGAAGCTGTGCACCCTAAAACGGGCGAAGAAACTTGATCCCGGAGCTTCTGAGATTGTTTGGTGTCGTGTTGAACCAAAAAAGGTGGCAACTTGCCCTGTAAAGCCCAATCTTATGAGGACGAGAGATCCGGGGCCTCTGAAAGACGGAGTTGTGGGCTTCGGGGTTTCAGGTGTCAGGCATACATGGCCCATACTCTTCCTCCCAAGCTTCGCTACATACCAGTCCGTCATTTTAGGCGCTGAGCCCCCCCAAAAGTATCTGCCCGAAACTCTAGCCCGACGCCACAACCTCGTCTCGTGTTTTCAGCACAGCCCTTTCTTGCCGAGGTCTGCAACGAGTCAAATGTGGTCTTGGGCGCAACGACGGCCCCTCGCATTAATTCAAGAAAGCTTGCGCGATGTTTTGGTGCACTTTCCGTCAGTTGGCTGCAGGCTTCTAGGGTCTTGAAGAGCCTAAGGTTCTTGTCTGTAGTCCGTACATATACTATATCTGTATTTCCATATCTACATATCTATATCTGTATCTGTGTGCATATCTGTATCTACATCGATATCTATGTTTTTTGTAATTGTATGCATATAAAGCAAATACACAATATAGCATACTTGCACAACTGTACTTCAGATTGGTTTAGACTAGATTTGATTAGGTAGATGATAGCTGGCCAGAGATGGGCTGGATGCTGGGGCTATTAGGGTTGGAAAGTTCACGAAACCTCCCAAAAGTGAGGTCCCAAACCCCTAAACTGCGAAGTCAACCTATAGCCCTGGGCTATCTTGCTCAGGTTGGTATGGCCTGCGTCTTCTACGGCCTCAACGCCCTGACAGAGCAGCTCGAGGTGTCTCAACTTCAGGGTGCAGGGGCTCGGATGCGTCGAGCTGTGCAGATTGGGGGCTTTGAGCTCAGCAGCACAGAGTAGCAGTAGTATAGTAGTAGTAGAAGTAGTGATTAAAAAGCTTACTTCTCTGCAAGACCAGGACCCGGTCCACCACCAGGCGCAGGGCTTCGACCTCTGGACCACCTTTGTGAACCTCTTCGAGGAGCACCGGGGAGGGAGTTGCTAGCAAGAGCTTTTGAAGGTGCCAGCAAAAGTTGGGAACTTCTGAGGTGTACTTTACGTAATAACTCGTCCTTAAGACTCAAGGGTGCCCTGGAGGTTCAAAGGCAACAGATGCTCTGATGCCCCTCTTTCTGCTCAGCCGCTTTGCTTGCATGCAGGAGCTGGACCGTGATGATGCAGTGCGAGACGGCTGCTCCACTTGCAATTGAAGTGCTGGTGCAGATATGACGGGTTTAGGGTTAGGGACGAAGTCCGTAGGCGAGAGAGATGAGATTGGATACAGGTGCCCTTCCCCGTAGCCACCCGTTGAGATTCGCTGAAACGCCTGAGGTTGCCGCAAGTTCCTCGAGAAGCACAAGGCCCTGCCCGCACGGAGTTGGTGTTGCAGTTGGCCACGAACATGCCAGTTTGAAGTTCTGCACCTGTCTCTGAGTTTGGAGCCATGTATCTGCATAGTCTGTGGTAGTTGGCCAGTATCCTCCCCAGTGCTTCAGTTCGTCAGTAAATTGTAACAGCACCACCACACGCGTGCTGATCGCAGAGCGGATCATCGTTATGAGGTTATTCAACACCAAAACCGGTAAGCCGGCATGAACTCTATATTATCATACATCCACAAGCCCTAAACCCTAAACCCTACATCCGCAGGCGGAGGGGAATCCCATCACTGAGAACCTGCATCGCCATTTCGAGGCCGAGATGCAGGCGGGTGAGGTTCAAAACCCCGAAGCTCCTCGAGCCTTAAATTCTAAAATGATAAAACCCGGGCGAGGAGGAAAAGAACCGACAAAAACACCAGACACCCTAAACCCGAAACCCTTAAGCTCCAGAGCCTCAAAGCAGACATCCTTTCGCTCTGTAGATCTTTTCATGACCGGTCGTTTGGCCTGAGGACCTGTTGCCGCCTGCGTCTCGCGGCAGCAGGGATGGTGGACTCCATTGTTAATACTACTCTTGGGTTTGGGGATGTTCTCAACGAATTAGGGAGTCCTGTCATTTGCTTCTGATACTCTGAGTGTTCATAGCACTGTTTCCCTCATCTTCTGAGCTTCTGATGGGAAGAGGTCCGACTGGAGCTTTTAGTTTTTTCTGTGCAGTCCTTGTGGGAAAGAAGACAGTGCAGCTAGGTACATTGCCACTATGGCAACTACGGTTCCCTCTATGAAGCTTGTTTGTTTGGTGCAGCCATGGGTCATTGCACCCGCAAGCAGAGACTTACCTTCCGAGATCTGAGACGTCATGTGCAGAGGGTCAAGGAGGTTTTGCCGTCAAATGAAGCGGCCATAGTATCAATCGCTATGCGGCCCGAGCGCGGCGCACTCCAAGCAGTTTAAACAAGCAGAGATGTGCCGTCCCCTGCATCCAGCCCATGCTCGATGTACGACATGGTGATAGTCACTGTCTTGATGATGATGATGATGATGATGACGACGGTGGTGATGACACTGATGGCACGGGCCTGGATAGTCGTTGCAAAAGCCTTTCGCCCCAGGCTTTTCAGCAGCAGGCCCTCACTATCCAAGCGGAATGCCAGTGTTCGATGAGCTCCTCGCTCAGAAAACACCTTGAAATTCAGACGTGGGATTCAGGTTTGGTGTTTCGGGTTCAGGTTTTCAGACTCGTTTCTTCACAGTGCGGGATTGAGGGGTGCCCTTTCTTCTGCCACCTGGCGTTTCAGATCAAGCATCGTTCGAGTAGGGAATATGCTGGTCCTGGTTGCCTGGAGCTGGGGGAAGCCTGCCAGTCCAGGCTGCTCAACCCTTACATGCTGCAGAATTTGAAGCAGCAGCGTGAGCACGACTGAGCGGTAGCAGATGTACGAAACTCTGTCTCTTGCGGCAGATCATCACGCATGTGCTTCATTCTGTTCGCACGTATGCCTCCACGAAGCAAACGGGTGGTCTTGGACGAGCGCGGGAGGCATTATCACAACTCCATCTCGTTTGTATTGTCACATGAGTAGACTCAAAGGGTCATCATGCAGCTCAAAAAGATGTAGTGTCTTCTGAGCATGAAGGGCGCGGATTCAGAGTGAAGGGAAAGTTCTTCTTCAGTGCAGTGCGTTCTAGATTCGGCATTCTCTGCCTCCGTTTCCGCTATTGGGCAAGTGCTCAGTTCTCGAATGTAAGCTGATCTTGGATCGGCCTCCGGCGTCGTTTCGACTGGCAGTAGACGAGTTTCGTTGGCGGACACATCCCAGCCGGTTTCACCAAGACGGTTAAGGTGTTTTACCTGTCGCAAGGCCTGCCTGCGTGCCATGTACGAGCAGGCGAGCGTGAGAGAGAGGCAACGAGTGAACAGAGAGAGAGGGAGAGAGAGACAGACAGACAACATGAGAGAGACAGAGAGAGGCAGACAGACAGGGAAAGCGAGGCAAGAAAGATGCCCGAGACAAGAAGACGATGGATTGCAAGGGTATTGCAAGCCAGCCACCGAAGCTGCGAGGGAGGGTTTGCAAGAAGTGTCGCTCGACAACAGGCTCTCCGCAAATGCATCTGCGACAGCTTATTTTGAAGACCGGCTTCAAAGCTCCCCGGTGAACTGGATCAAAGAGTTGTCCTGGAAGGGGCTGCTTCGAAAGGAGAAGCCTCACGTGCTATGCTACGCCCAAAGAGAAAGTGACTTTTCTATGCATGCGTCTGGGTTGCGTAGGCTAGATCACGACCTGACATCGTGCGGGATGTACTGTAGAGGCTCGGACTTGGCGATTAGCCCAGATGCAATGTTTCACTACATACCACCCCTTCCTACGATCGAAGCCATAATGCCATAGTGGCACCAGTATATTGAATTACGTGTTATAGGTTACATGTCGTATGCTATGATTACATCTATGTCAATATCTATACTATGCGTTGTGTATTGTCAGATGTTATACGGTATATAAATTATATATGGGTCTGTCTTATTAGCTGTTATCTACAATATGCTTTACAATACATATAATACCTAATATCTAATCTCATACATCTATATGCACGCACACTAAATTACAAAGTCTGTGTAAGGTATTCTTACTTCATTAAATAATGTACTGCGTACTGCATGTTAGATACTGTAGATAACTGGTTACAGGTGCAACATTCTGTTTTGTTATATCATATCATACGAGAATCTGATTTTTATGTTTATGCATATTATGCATTATATATCATACGTAATACATACGTTATATGACATATTGAATATGAGTTATCATGTGTTTTAGATAACATGATAACATGCTAGTTCTTATATGCTAGGATATGCTAGGTATTATGGATAGTGCTTTTCTCTTGACTGACATTGTGCATTGTACGGTAGATACTACATACCGTGTATATGTGTATATATATATATACACACACACCCTATGTTGTTTTTGATATATGAGATACCATAACTTATATGTTACATATCGACCATAACTTCGTACAGTACTCATTTTGTGTTATATGTGCTTCATGTTAAACGTTCTATGATGTGTGGTAGGTTATATGTTATATGACACTGATTGCATATTCGTCTAGTTTCATACTGAGCAGGCAGCGAGCGGGGCCTGTTACATCACGAGTTGGTTTGGTTGCTTATCGTATTCCTGAAGGTTCCCGATCATCCACAGGTGCATGTATACATAGTATGCATATATACATATACATATACATACATACATACATACATACATACATATATATATATATATATATATATATGGATGGTGTATGGGTATAGTACGTAGTCCTTGGAGTTCCTTATGATAACCACAAGAGGTTAGTTTCGTAGGATCCAAAGATGTGAATGCCCTTGCAGTAACACGTTTTCATGGATTGCTTTGGCTCTGCAGTGGGACACGGGGTATCCTCGCCCCTGCGCCCTTTACTCCAGTCCACTCCCTGGAGTCGGCAACAAGGCTCACAGCTTTTGGTTCGGGGCTTATCGGGTTTCTGGTTTGGGTTTTGGGAGTGATGCTGCCGTTGCCGGTGCTGCAGCCACTGCCATTTCGGCGGATGTTGTCACGGCTGCTACGACTACCACCACTACTACTCTGAATTCCGCTGACGTTGCTGCGTTGTGCAGCGACGACAATGCAGCGAAAAATAGCAGCAAGAGTAATAGCCAGAACGCCAGGAACCACAGCAACGTAGCTGCAAGCTACGAAGAGCAACATGAGCAGTGCCAACAGTCAAAGTCACACTGTCAAAAAGCATGTCAGGGACAGTGGCAATGTCTAGAACAATCCTTCGCTCACAGAATGCATCTGCGGGGCTGCAGTTCTGAACGAGTCTCTACAGCCGTCGTTCATTAGCGAGGGCCACTGCCACAGGCGGGCGGTATAGTACAGGGGTCGGAATACTGACCGGTGACTGGTACTAGTCCTTAAAGTTCCCTCTACAATTAACCTACGACCTGCCGCACAACCCTCTTTTAATTGCCGAGGCCTCTATAATCCGAGAGCTTCCTGCATCGGGTCGAGAAATGAGAAGCCCGAAAGAAGAACGGAGAGACGTAAAGTCTCATGGCCCTGGCAACCATAAACCTCAATCATTGTTAAACTTAGGCCTTAAGCTAGAAGCCTCCAACGACCCGGAACCCTAAACCTTGAACCCTGAACGATCCTAGTTGTCTTGACAGGGCTCCACAGAATTGGCGCTTTTGGCTTGGCTGTTTGTTTGTTCCTTTGGTGCTTTACGAGTCTTGTGGTTTCAGGATTTTCGGGCTTGCGGCTTCGGTTCACTACTTCCATGCGGGCGTTTCCTCAAAGCAAGGGCCTTTTATGAATGACGGGATCTTTCATTGTAAAGGGAACTCCAGAAAGTTGGAATATGGTTTCATGGTAGGTTACCCTAGAATTTACCATAGAATTGTAACAGGCGTTGGATGGAGGAACTGTGCCATCTTGATTTAATCTAAACGTAAATATAACGTGATCAGAATGGGTGGCGCGGGGGTTGGGCTGGGCTGGGGGTGGGCTGGGGCGGGATGGGGCTGGGCTGGGCTGGGGTGGGCTGGGGCTGGGGCCGGCGTGGGTCGGGGTGGGCTGCCTGGGCGCGCCGGGCGCTGGGCGGGACACGTTTTTTTCACGTTTGTTTCACGTTTGTTTCACGCTTTTTTCACGTTTCTTTCACGTTTGTTTCACGTTTTTTTCACGTTTGTTTCACGTTTTCCTAGGGAAAACGTGAAAAGAACGTGAAACAAACGTGAAATAAACGTGAAACAAACGTGGAAAAATCGTGAAAGAAACGTGCCACCGACATGCAACAAATTCACGTTTTGTTTACGTTACCTATACGTTTACTTTACGTTTGTTTTAAATCAGAAATCGGAGCCTCTCCATGCGAGCGCCGGTTACAACCATAGAAGGGTTTAGGATAATCATATTCCAACTTTCTGGCTTTTACTTTAAGGACCTCAAGCCCGGGAGCCCTGATGCAAGAACCACCGGAAGGATGGCCTCAATGAAGTCGTGGACGCTCTGCCTGTTCACAGCGGGGGCCTGAGTGGGGTTGAGGGTTGAGACGGTCAGGGCGAAGTCTAAGTGCCCAGGTTTAGGGGGAGGAGCTTGCTTCTGCTCAGCCTGTTTGGCCTTCTGATGAGGGGAAACTCTGATTGGGGGTGTTTTGGGGGGCTCAGGAGGCCGGAAAAATGCTGGGTCTCGGAACTGCGCGTTTCCCTTTAAACCCCAAACCCCAAACCATAAACCATAAACCCTAAACTAAACCTTACACACTAAACCCTAAAGTGGGTTTCTTTCCTTGAGGTGGTTCGAGGCTGAGGGCCTGAGAACTGAGGCGCTGCTGCTGGCCGATGGTGCCCGGATCAAAAGGCTCTTCTTTTGTCACGCTGGCGTTCCGGGGGTTCAGGTTTGAGGGTTCTGTGTTCTTGAAGGTTCGCACTTTCATGCGTCCTGGTACATGAACATATCTGCCCATAGTCTGCTGAAAAGTGTCCTTCAATCCCACCACTGTCTAGGCGACGTGGCACCACCGTGTGTCCGGTGAATGGCGGTGGGTGAGAGGCTGAGCTTCGCGTTGCAAGTTCGTGGGTTTGCTGCAAGACTTGTAGCGAGGTTTGCACAGACCACGACAGGTGGCCTCAAAGCTTTCAGCCCTTCAGGCAAAACTTACCAGCTGAACGGTTGAAGTAGTTGCCCGAGCTTCAGCTTACAGCAATCTGTTGTTGAATGTTCGCTCTAAGCTCCAACAGAAGGAGATCTTTCTCATTCCTTCTGGATCTTGAGAGTGTCCTCTGGAGACCCAGGCTTTGTTCTTGCAGCGTTCATCGCTCTCCAGCTTGGCTACTAGTAATTACTGGTGTGTGTGTGTGTGTGTGTGCTTTGTTCAAAGCTGATGCTCTGTTTTGTCCTCTTCGTCTTGCATTTCGCTTCGCTGGAACTCGCACCTTGCCATCTCAACCTTCGACCCTTCTCTCTACAGAGCCGCACAAGTAGCCACTAAGACGAAAAGAGCATGGCTTCGTCTCTCCTTTGTGTGCATCTTCCTCCGAGCCCTGGGCCCTGTACCCTAGGCCCTAAACCTTGTACCCTAAACCCTACATAATCCCTAAGCCCTAACGATCGTCCAACCCAGGTGCCACTGCAACTGCCAAGCTGCAGCGGCAGCAGCGATGCCCTTTGGGCAAATGCCTGGGATGCCTGGGGCGATGCCGGGCGCGATGCCAGGGCGGGCCGTGCAAGGGTTCGGGTAGTACCAGGTCAAGCCATATGTCTGCCACTACAAGGTAGCTGCAACTCCTTACCGTCAGTCTTAAGCTTGTTTTGCATTGCTCAGTTTTTCCTTTTTGTTTCCGGCATCCTGGCCTGTGGCAGGTTCGGACCGATGGCTTTGACTGCTCCAGTGGTGACGCCACCCCAGGCCGCGTCATCTGAGAACTGTGCTTCTCTTGTGACCTGGAAAGGTTCTGTCTGATTTGCTGGAGGGTGTTACATTCAGGATTATGATAAAGGGGTTCCAAGAGCAACAACACACAGAGCATACTAGAGTACTAAACAACACCAGCAGTAGCAGCAGTAGTAGCAGTACTACTAGTCGTAGTTGCAGTTGTTGTAGCTCTTGATGTCACCGTCATAGCAATCGCCTTGCCACCGTCATCACATCGACATTCTCATATTAAAGCATGTTATAATATCTTAACCTGCGTGTTTATTATCTGATATTTTAGTGTTTTATCGTCTATGTCCTGTGATATCATGGTATATTGTAATGGCTCTGTCCTGCCGGCTGCCAGGCGCCTCCCCAGAGCCCTCCTCCGCTGGGTACCCGGTGCTGTCGAGTTTGGATTTCGGGTTCTGCGGGAAGCTTCGGTTTGGAGTTTAGGGCTTAGGGTCTAAGGATTAGGGTCCAAGGCTCTAAGGTTTAGGGCTTGGGGTCTAAGGTTTAGGGTTTAAGGTTTAGGGTTTAGGGTTTAAGGTTTAGGGTTTAAGGTTTAGGGTTTAGGGTTTAAGGTTTAGGGTTTAAGGTTTAGCAAGGCCCCGCCGTAGACTGAGGGGCCTCGAGTCCCAGAGATTATGGTTTCGGCGACAGGGGCTTGCGGATTTCGAGCAGAACCTCTGCCTGGCGATCTGCAAAGTCGGCATGTCGCAACAGGATACCACAGGGGCCGAAATAATTACCAATACTATTTTGGGGTTCCATACTATGTATTATAGCACAGAGGGGCCAAAAACCCTGTTCTACCTACTTCGAGCTGTTGGCGTAGTACCCTGACTTGCTTAAAGCCTTGGAGGAAGTGCAAGGAAGTCGCATTGCTGCACTCTGCGTAAACGGCTTCATCCTGCATGCAAGGCCACAGACTGAGCTCTACCTCTACCATCATCCCGGAACTCACCCTGAACCCGTAACCGCTAAACCCCTAAACCCTAGCCCTTAAACTCCTAAACCTCTAAGCCCCTAAACACTAGCCCGTAAACCCCTGAACCCCTAAACCCAAGCCCTTAAACTCCTAAACCCCTAAGCCCCTAAACCCTAGCCCGTAAACCTCTAAACCCCTAAACCCTAGCCCTGGAACCCCTAAACCCTAAACCCCACAACCCTAAACCACAAAACCGTAAACCCCCAACAGTCTCAGACTCTTCGAGGCCGCCACCGCCTCCCCCTCCGCCCCAGCCGCCTCTCCCGCCCCCGGAGCCTCCCGTGGCGCTGCCGGCCCTTCCAAAGGCCGGGACGGGTTTAGGGTTCAGGGTTCGGGGAGAATATCAGCAGTTGCAAATATATAATACAGAAGTACATAAGTAGATGAATAGATACTTTGTACATGCATGTTTACATGTGAATAGAGATGTAGATATCACCAAAAGCCCTTATCCCAAGCCCTGAACCCTATAAGACCTAAAACTCCCAAACTCCCGAAAACACCGAAACTCCCAAACCCGAAGCCCTAAATCCCCTAAGCCATTCCCTAAACCCTAAACCCCTAAACCCCTAAACCCTAAACCCCTAAACCCTAAACCCTAAAGGCCAAAACCCCTAAACCCTAAACCCCTAAACCCCTAAACCCCTAAACCCTAAACCCTAAAGGCCTCTAACCCCGATGCCACTCCGAGCCTTTCGGCGAAGGTCCCCGAGCTGAGCTCCGAGGCAGTGCTGTTTTTTTCCTCTTTTTTTGGATTAAACATATTGGGGAAAGAAAATCATTGTTCACCAATATGTTTAGTGTTTTTTTGTTATTTTGTGGATTTGGGTGTTTCCGAAAATAGGGGACCCTAACGGGGTACCCTAAATAGTAGGATCCTTATTATAAGGACCTCAGAATAAGGTACCCCCTAATCTTCGGAAACTCCCATTTGTGTTTTGGGGCCGTTTGGGGTTCAGATGTCGCATTTAGGGTTTTTGGGCTTTCTATTCAAGCGGGGGGTTCTACGTCGTGTCCCAATGTCTTATGGTGGCCAAACTGACTAGACTAGGGGAGGGATGTTGACGGTATGCGCAGCACTAGCTTCTCAGGCCTCTTCACTACAGTCTCTAAGCCCTCGGCCCTACTAAGCGCCATACTCCAAACCTTTAAGCCCTCAAGCTCTGAACCCCTAGCCCGACAAGGTCCTTCAAAGGAAGCCTCAGCCCGAAGAAGAGTAGGTCGAAGTCGCTGTAAGGAGTGCAGTGTTTTCCGCAGCTCTTCGAACGGCTGCACGGAGGGGGGACCTTCAACAATCTTCTGTACAGGATTTTATGGGCTTTCATGTTGGGGTCCTTGTATTATTTATGGGGCTCCTGTTTCTGTGGGATATGCATGAGGGTTCAGCATTCTCAGAAACTCCCAGATTATCAGTACGAATAAACACGGACCCTGGAACGACATCCCACTCCGGTCTTTCGTACGTGGCCTGGGCCAGGATCTCCCCACACTGGGCACGGAACTCAGGTAGGGATCATCTCGTGGCTTAGCATGTGCGAGAGTCTTGAGTTTTCGTTCTCTGTAGAAAAGGCCATCAAGAACTGAGTCCATGCCATCATGTTTCCCCGTGCTGGATGCTCAGGCCCGCCTCCTCCTCCCACGCTCCCGCCAACGGCAGCACCTCTGGCGCAACTGGTCATGCCAACCATGCCGCCACCCCAACTGCCCAACCCCTTTGCTGGGTCGCACAACCCCTTGTCCGCCATCCCCAACCCAATGGCGGGCATCCCCAACCCCATGGCCGGCATGCAGAATCCGATGGCTGGCATGCAGAACCCTATGGCCGGCATGCCGAACCCCATGGCCGGCATGCCAAATCCTATGTCCGGAATGCCGAATCCCATGGCGATGGGAGGACAGAGCCCCTTCGGACAGGCAGCGTGAGATGAGCATTGCAGCATCTCTAGGAGCTGACACCATTATTCCGTGGCACGGATCTATGGCAGGTCTTGCTCGACATGTGTAAAAGCTCAGAATTGTTTCTAGTACCTTGGCATCCTTCGCACCCTGTCCACATCCCTGGCGAGGCTGGGGCTTTCAACATGCCTGGCGTGCCGGGGATGCCGGGAATGCCTGGAATGCCCGCAGGTGCAGATGAATGAGCACGATTGATTCCTTTTTAGGGTGTTGTGACAGGAGCCATGTTTGATTGAACCTTGAACCCTCAAACGAATGCGGAGACCGGCCTGGGGTCCCGTATGTGGAAGTGCTGAAGTAGCTCCTTCAAGAATCGCTTTGCCAACTTAGATAGTAGACAGTGCTATCAGGTGTATAGAACTTCAGTTTAGATTTCTGCAGGGTGGGGTAGGCAACCAACTACACTTGTACCGTACCAGTCATGTAAAGAAGAAGAGACACCAGAGACCCAAAGCCATTGCATAGCAACTGCCACTCTCGCACTCGCACCCACTATAGGAGCCTTATAATAGTTACCTATATATTGTTTTGGGGTTCCTGATTATACTTTTAGTATAATGGGCCGCAAACCCTATTCTAGTTATTAAGGCCCCCTATATTACATTTTGGCGGCCACTGGCAGTGGGGACTGGCACAGGCTCCGCGATGAACAGGTAGGAACTGTGGTAGCGGGGCGACATAGAGGGAACACCGCAGCTCCAGCCCGGAACCGCAGGTTCTTCTTCTTCTTCTTCTCAGCATTAGTCCCATGATGATGCGTTTTAGGCTCTGTTCTGTGGCAGTGCAGGTGCACCGGCCCCTGCCGGCACGCCGGGTGTCGCCGGACAAGCAGTGACCCCTCAGGCCATGCTGGCACAGGCCACCTGTCCTCGAGAAAGCTCTCCATCTCTACATACCCAGTAATATGCCCGTCTGGAGGTAGTGTAGTTTTGCAGGATTGCTGCTTGAAGAGCGGTGCCGAAACGACCATTGAAACCTCGAGCCTGGTAGGTACCTGTCACTATCATTCTCAATTCTCAGCGGCTTTGCCCGAGTTACCGATCTCCCCTAGTCCTAGTGTCTTTAGCTTACTGAAGGGAATGCAGGAGTTTGCCCATCAACAGAAGGAGGGCCCATAATAAAGGGCCTTGATAATTACCTATACTATTTTGGGGGTTCTTTATTGTAATAATAGTTTTGTATACCTCAAAACCCTGTTCTAATCATGAAGGCCCCTGAATAGACTACCACCCTGAGAAGCTTGGCCGCCAGGCCGCCGCAACTCTGCCTGGCATGCACCAGCCGCCCGGAACGACCCCCAGCAAGTGTGTGCGTATATCTGCGCAGATGTGTATGTATACACGAATACAGTTTGTAAATATTTATATGTATATATATACATATATATACTACCTACGTATGTATGTAAACACGTGAAACATGTCCATGCGAGGTGTTGACGGGGGAGATATGCATAGTCAGTTCGGGCAAAGTAGCTTGTTTACCAGTCAGGTTGTCTGACTTGGACTCAGAAGCTTCATTGCTCAAAGCTCTTCCGAGATGATGTACAGTAGAGCAGGCAGAAAACGCCTTGCTCCGGAGGTATTCCTGGGCTTCGTTGAAGTCGATAGATTGGGTAGTGACTCTGGGTTCGAGCGGACTCGCGCGCAGGTGCTTCCGCCCAAGGTCTCAACAGCCTGGCCTCCATGGTGCAGCAGAGGGCACAGGGAGAGCTGCCGGGCCGCAGTTTCCCACTAATCTCGGAACTTTCGGATCCTGACTGGGCCTTTTTGGTGACAGGGAAATGCCTTCCTGGGAGCATTGTCTGTAGGGTTCCTGGGTTTTGGTTTCGAGGTGTTTGAGTGAGCAAACACGACTTGCGAATTCCAGCTTCACGTCGTTTCTTTCGCGCGTCATGATCTTGGTATTGCTCATGACTGCATGACTGGGTTTAGGGTAAGGGAGTAGACAGGTTGGCTTGATCTGGTCTTCCCTCGGATGAGGCTGACGTACCACTACTACCAGTATGTGCCTGGCTATGGCTACGTCTACGAGCTCGGGCCTCCGTGGGGCGTCTAAACTGACTGCTTGCGGTATGCACAGTCGGAATCTGGCGGGCTTCCCTTGGAGTTTCCGAAAATGGGAGAACCTAATATAGTACAGTAAACAGTAGGATCCGTACTATCTGTATGCTTTTTTGTCAAGCATCAGACACGTTTGCAAGTCCCTGAACCCCACCAGAGCATTTTCCGTCGCTGAAGCATCACACTGGAAACTGCTGAGCTGGTAGGCCCGGGCTCAAGACGGATGGGCAGAATCTGGCCGCGCTGATCAAGAATGGAAGGCGATGATATTACGTTTGTAATTCGAGCAAGTTCTAGGTGTTTGAGGAGTTCGTGTTGTAGGGGCCTTAATAAGTACCTGTGCTGTTTTTGGGGGCTCCCATATTAAATATTATAGTTATATAGTATAATGGGCCCCAAAACCCAACTATCTATTCAGGCCCCTATATTCGAGCTCTTGGCAGTTTTGGCCGGCACAGAGGGTGAGTTCGGAGATGTCAGGTCTGCTAGGGTTCGCGAAAGTCAAAGTTTGGAGGCCGGACTTTATAAGGTCTATTTAAGTCCCCCCTCCCCCTTACCCCCCTAAGGGTCCCTATGAACACAGGAGCCTCAGAGTGTAGTAGCCTTGCAGCACTTTTCCTTCCTATTTGTAGCCAGGGAATCACAGTATAGCACAAAGTCTCGAGAAACACAACATATTTCAAGCAGGCATGTTATTGTTTGTCTCCGAACCCGAAATTGCTCTCGGGTCATCATTGATAGAACAGCTCTAAGCCCAACATATGTCTGAAATCCAATCCTTAAGCAGCCTCAAACCACACTGAACCCTCCTGCAGCCTGCCCTAGACCCCGAGCCCTAAACCTAGAATCCCTAAGCACCCAGCCCTAAACCCCTGAACCCCTCGAACCTGAACTCCACCAAAACACCATAAACCCGTACATTCCTAATCAGGAAGACCACGAAGACCTGCGGATGCCTCCAATCCTGGAGCCACAAGGGCCAATCGCCAGGGGACCCTGGCTTTGGGGATTTCGGCTGGCAGCGACTTGTGGTTTAACCTAGTAGTAGAGCAGGTAACCTTTAACCTTCTTTGGGTAGCATAGTCCCTATATAATCCCTATATAACCAAAAAGGTTAACCTTTAGTTTCCCATGATACCCGACAAGTAGGTTAAGGTTATAGGACAGTGTTGGTTTCGGGTGCAGGGATGGTTGAGATTTCTGAGAGTCGGGTGGAAATGACTGGCCTTGGAAGATCTTGGAAGCACGAAGCTGCGCTCGCCATGGCATGGCCCCGCCGAGGTGCAACAGCTACTGCTGCAACCCGGACAACGATGCTGCCGGTCCTTGGTGTTTCGTGATGGACCAGGCGGACTGACAAGTGCTCTGCATGCCGATCAGGTCTCATGGTACTACAGTACTCTGCAGTGATACTGCGGCGTAGGGATATTGATATGGTGCACAAAAATCAAGACCATCCCTGCAGCTTGACCCTCTCTCTGCGAAAGGCGTGCCAGGGCGATACCTGGGGTACCTGTGAGGCCCTTGCAGCCGCCTGGATCTCAGATCACTCTGAGCGTGTCAGGTTCGATCCGAGTGATTCTGCAAACTAGGCCCTGCAGCGGACTCTAAACTTTGATGCCAAAGGGCAAGACTTCGGCTTGCTCGAAGCGGGGAAATCTTGTTATAATTGTTCGATCGTGTACATGCACTGTCACATTCGGTACCAGAATGTAGTTTTACTCAATGCCTGATGTACTGTACCACAGTGTAACAATGCTCAATACCTTATTTACTTATGCACTCAGACCGAGAAGCTTACCGCGCAGGCTGCCCCGGGTCCGTCTCCGGCTGCATCGCCGGCATCGCCTGCGCCGGCACCAGCTCCCGTGGCTCCGCGGCTCCAGTTTTTTAGCTAGCTGCGATGATCAGGGGTTTAGGGTTAGGGCTTAGGGTTTAGGTTTTAGGGTTCAGGGCTTAGGGTTTAGAGCTTAGAGACTAGGGGAGTGATGTCAGTACTGGTCGTGGTAGTCGTGGTAGTCGTCGTCTTCGTCTTGTCGTCGTCGAACAGTGGCGGCCAGCTGCAGTAGCAGTAGCAGTAATGAGAATCAATCGCACTGTCTTTGGAGGTTGCTCTGCCAGAAACCGTGAAAACTGAAATGTACTTCCGAACACCAAGCCGGAGCCTCAAACCCTGACATGGAACCTTACATCTTGAGCCGACTGCGCCATGTGTTCGGTCCTTGTGACTCTGCGCCTGTGCCATACTCTGAAGCATTCACATAGTGATAGTTTGACGTACAGAAAGCAAGTTGTAGATGAATCTAGCCTTTGCATGCTCGGAGCCGACGAAGCAAGCTCTTTTCACATCCCTCATGTGCCAAGAACCCCTAGTTCTGTCTCGTCATGATAGCGCATACCTGAAAGCACCTCAGCATCTGAGTTTGAACCCTGGACTGAGTCCTGAGCCTCTCGTTTAGGATTAGGTTGCAGCAAACAACATGTGACCTGAGTTCGAGGCTGCAGCAGCGAAGGACAGCGATGGGCCTACTAGCGACGACTGTCTCTGCTTTGTGTAGAGAGGTCCAGCCATTTATTCCGTTCACCTGGCTTCGGCTTGCACGTTTTTCTGGGAGCTTCCAGAGCCCTTCTTCTCCTGGCCTGACGTTGCATCCGCGACCATGTTACCGGCAGCAGTACTAGATGAGGAGGAGGAGCAGTAAGAAGCCTGTCCACACTAGTAGGGCTAGATAAGTCAGACCAGCTAGGTAGGTCGGTACACCGCTCGCCTTGCGCAGATGCTGGCGCAGATGACGTCGAACACCACTGAGGCGTGCCAATGTGCAAGGATCCTAAGCTGTAGCACCCGAGCCGGAAACCCGAAACCTCAAACAGGGGCTCTTGAATTGAGACTTGAGCCTGTGCATTTGTTATCGACTTTCATTCCAGGACTCGTAGTTTCGATATTCCGTTGTGTAAGCAAAAGGCCTGCATGATAAGAGCAGGATTTGGAGGTGCGTCGTGCAAAAGTTCAATAAGGGCTTGCAGCCATTGACTAGTATCCTCGGGGGCCAGGTCCTCGAAAGCTCGAAGGCACTGAGTCGAGAGCAAACATAAACACAGTCACTGAGCTCAGACGCTCAGCATCGCCTCCCTGGTGCTTAGTAGGGAATAGGAGAATGGATCCCTATAGTAGTCCCTATAGAATCTCAATAATAGTCCCCATAACCCATTCCCCCATTCCATAAACCCTAAACCCTAAACCCTAAACCCTATACCCTAAACCCTAAACCCTAAACCCCCATTCCCTACTAAGAATCAAACAGTCACTTGAGGGTTGGCGTTCCTCTGCCGGGGCCACCTGCCCAGCAGATTCCCGGTCCGAAGCCCTGGACACCAAATCCATAAGGCCCGAAGACCATAAAACTAATAATACAAATAATACTATATAATCTAATAATATTCATAATACCAAGAATACTAACGATACGAATAATATTTATAATACTAATAATACTAATAGTACTAATAATACGAATAATATTAATAATACGAATAGTACTAATAATACTAATGGTACTAATAATACTAATAATGCAAGTGAAGTTGCAGATTTTCGGCGCCTGCTCCCACTTGTAGGCATCTGCCACCGACGAGGCTGCCGTGGAGGTCACATCGGAAGGGCCCCTAAACCTTAAACCCTAAACCCTAAACCCTAGGGTTTGGGGTTTAGGGTTTGCTTACCGTCTGAGTAGTTACGATTTTTTTGAGTCGTGGGAACCAAGTTATCACACTTTGCTCGCTGAGAGGCATTCCGCTGGATGCTTGTTTGGCTCTACGGGTTGCTTTGGCATCCAACGGCCAGCCTTAGGCCCGCAAGCCCTAGTTGCAGACTCCACGCCAAACAGCGAACCCCAAAGAGCAAACCAAATCCATGAAGCATCCTATTATGAAGGCTCTTACACAAAGCCGGTTTACCGGCCAGGGGTGTCTACGTTGCGCTTTGGCTTATTCTTGGTGTTGTGCTGAACTCTGCGGTAATACTAGGTTCTTGACTGTTACAGTCTCGTCCACAGAAACCTAGATCTGCAATACGTACTTTAGACGTCCCTGTTGTTATGTAGTACTCTGTGTATGGTAATCCTCGGCACTGTCTTGGGATGCTGGGGGGGAGTGCAGGAACTCGCAGCGGTCCTCAGCTCGGACGAGGCACAACGACTCGAGTAATATCCGGGCGTTCATACTTAGAAAAGGGTTTTGTTTGCGTATAAATGCTCGTATATAAGCAGGACCTAAGGAATACTGTCAGTAAGGTTTCAGTGTGAGCTGGGGTGTCTTTGAGGAGCAGCATTTGCTGCTGCCATTGTTACTGCCGCTACTACTGCTGCTGCTGCTACTACCACGACTACTACGACGACGACGACGACGACTACTACTACTACTACTGCGCTACTGCTGCTGCTGCTGCTGTGCTGATGCTGCTGCTTCTGCTACTCTGCTGCGACTGCTGCGACTGCTGCTGCTTCCTGAAGACCCTACAGCCCGAAGCCTTGAGCCTTTTCCTCTGTCTTCAAACGTTGAGGCGAACATGCCCAGTGGCGCTTTTCCTTGGTGTTGGGTGAAACGGTTTATTGCATGGGTTGATGTTTGCGCCACGCGGCCAGCCACCTTGTTGTGGCCCCTGCCGGCGCCCTTATGGCCCTTACTTGCAGCTCAAGCCCTTATCCCGAATCTGGTCCATCAGGTGAAGGAGGAGCCCAAGAGGCCCCGGGTTTGACAGGGCGAGTGCGCTGTCGGTTGGATATGTGGCGGATGTGCTCACATTCAGCTGTGCTGTGTACATTGTCACGATGCAGAACAGCAGCACTCATAGCACGGCGATGACAGAAACCACAAAGAAGTAGTTTACTGTGCATGCGACAAGCTCCGGCAAGCAAAGGAAGTGATGACAGCCCAGGATCTAAGCGAGCAGTTCCAAATCCGAAGCCAGAATTCTCTGATCGCAGGAACCTCCGCGCCAGCTTCATGCAGCGAAAGCAGGGTCTCGAGCAGGCTCTCAGGGATTTGTGTTAGCGGTTATCGTCGTTATTGTCAGCCTTGCGATTCTAGCCCGAAGACGGACGACGATTGGGAGTGGAAGCAACCAGCAGATGTAAACTCGAAAGCGATGCTCGTTTTGATCGTCCTCACAGTGCCCAGTACTGATGGTTCTGGTCTGATGGCCATGATGGTGACGATCATGATTTTGCTGCGCTTGATCTCTACTTGTGATGACGACGCCGGTGCTGAACTTAAGGATAGTGATGTCGATCCTAGCCACTGCTTGCAAATCTCACTTATAGGATGGTTCATGGGGTGCCCATGAAGCTCCTTCGACTGGGTCAGGTCGAAGGTTCCCCCTGCGACTGCGGCGGCGCCATGGGCTGAGACCCACAGAATCCATGTGCACGCGCGCGTGCGTGCGTGCATCTGTGTGTGTGTGTGTGGCGTGCATTTTGGGGTACAGCTTTGCATCCGACTGTTAGCGACTCGAGTGCCGCCTTCTGTGAGCGTGCTGGAGCTCGACTTGCTTGGTGTCGACTTGAACGACGCAAGCTTCGACCCAGTGATCAGCTGCTACGTAGCTGAGGGGCCACAAGCTCACAAACCCCCAAAGAGTTCGAGCTACTGTAGACGCACCTGCCGAAAAGCTTGCCCATGACCACCAGTTTCAAGGCTTCGTTTAAAATGCTGCAGGTATACTGAAGTCTTGCAGGCCGACTGAGACCTGACGTCACGCACCCCTACATAAACCATGCACAACAAAACGCTGCCAAGAACCAGGATTGATCTGCCCATATGTGGACAACGTGAAGGCGTCTTTGCCGTTTTCCACCATGTAGTTTTTGGGCTCTCGGATTTGCGGGTTTGGTTTGGGGCCTTTCCAGGGTTTCGGGTAAGACAAAATGGTCTTCGAATCGCCCGTGGTGAAGTCTTTTGCTTTCATTGCGAAGTCGGAGGGTGTCGGGAGAGAGGATTTTGCAGGAGGTTGTGCCGAGTGCTGCTAGGAAACGCTGCTTTAGGCGTAGACAAAAATCAAATCGTGGGAGGTCCCAATGATTCGCAACAACGCGCCTTCTAGGTCCTAGGTCATATATATCTATACAGTGCATGCCGACACCCTTCTTCTAACAGTTTAAGGCCCCAATGTTAGACCTTGCTTCGTTTCAGCTTGGCTGTCATCGCAGAGAAGTTGGCTCGCATCTTGCCGTCCTCCAAGCTCAGCCATGGAAGTTGGCAAAGGAGCCTTCTGCTACCTGCTTCTTGCCCTAGCCTGCTGGCTGCAACTTGCTGAAAGTTGAGTATCGTTTTCTCGATTGTTGTGGTTTGGGTTTCCTGAGTATTCTTTAGGCAGTAGGGGCCTTGATAATTAGAATATAAGGGCAACTATAAGGGATTTATAAGAGTACAAAACAAAATGGGCCTCACTAATTACATAGCGGGCCCAAGGAAAGATTTGTTTCCTTCCTTGCTTACAGTGTCCCAGGAAAGGATGCTCGGTGTCCGACACCCCCAGCAGCCCGGATACGGTGGGCGACCAGGGAGAGCGCCGGCGAGGCTCCTTTCTGGTCATCGGCGACTGGGGTTGGGATGCAAATGTGGCTCTGATGCACTCCTGGGTGCATTCAAATTTTAAAATTCAGCATGGGCAGACGTGAGAAAGTTGTGCACGTTGCTGTCCATGATGAGTTTCACATACACACACTGGCATGGAATCACGCACAGGAACATGCAGAGTGCAAGATGATGCCGAATGATAAATGTGCGTAGATCGCACCCTTCATTTGCCAACTAGTTGAAGTGCCGCAGTTCGCAAAACAGCATGTATCAACATGCATGTTGAAGTGTTTCTCTGAGGCTCATGGAAATCTCAAGAGCAAGCACTGTCAACAGCTGGTGGCCGACGTCATGCACGAACAGATGGAACTGCTTGGGGATGTGAGGTTTATCGTCAACGTGGGCGTTGCTCGGCTTTCATCACCACAGCCTAGTGTTCAGTCGTTCAATCTGGAGACGGCGTAGGAGATACTCTTTTGATGATAATGGCTTCCTGTTTGATTCCGTATGTGTTCTCAGTGTCAACTTCTGGAATGACATGCTCCCCATACCGACAATAATGAAACACGATCCAGCATAGAGGACATGCAGCAGCATTGGCAGCAGCAAGTGGCTCTTGGAAATTTTGGTACGCATTAGGCCACGGGCATCTTGAACCGACCACAACTGTATATCCAGATTATCGCTTCATCGTGACGGTGACGGTGCGGACCCGTAACCAAGCCAACCCAAGAATCAGTTATCCTTCAAGGATTCCTTTTATCCGGATGGTGTGCACAACAAGAGCGACCCGCAATGGGACGTGCCTTGGTCTGCCCAAACCGCACCTCGAACTCTGTGTTCCAAGCCAAACCTCAAACCCCATCCCCAGGGGAAAGGGGTTGGGGAGGAATATGGGGGTCTGCATAAGCACTACTACTACTACTACTACTACTACTACTACTACTACTGCTACTACTACTACTACTACACGTACTACTACTACACGTACTACTACTACTACTACTACTACTACTACTACTACTACTACTACTACTGCTACTGCTACTGCTACTGCTACTGCTGCTACTACTACTACTACTACTACTACTACTACTACTACTACTACTACTACTACTACTACTACTACTACTACTATGCTTTAGGGATTCTGATCATGAAGACACCCCCCAAGCCCAATCTTAATTCCTAATCCCTGCGGCCTGAAGCCTTTCAGTGTGAATCTACAAGCACGAATTATGAGTAGGATTCAGACTACTCTTTTCATTTTCTTACAAAGATGCCTCACAAGCCAGTCTAATTATGAAAGTTCCTATCTCTGACCTTTATAGTAAAGCTTAAAGGGAACCCTTCTTAGATTCTTGCGCCCTGTAAAACAGTCCCCTACGTCACAGGGCCAGGTCTCGGCTTCAGTGCATTCCTCCAACTTCCGAAACCCAGCCCAGAGAAGACGGGCTACTCTAGGGGCCTAAATGATTAGAATAGGGTTTTGGGGCCCATTATACTCTTTTTTTAATAAGGAATAGTGGAGGCCTAGATAATTAGAATAGGGTTTTGAGGCCCATTTTGCTTTTTTTTGATAAGGAATCCTGGAAATAGTAGTGGTAGTTATTTGGGGGCCCAGTAGTATTTTGATTTGAGTGGGGCAGCTTGAAAAGCTGCGTCCCCGTTTGCGGAAACTCGGTAGAACCAGAGTTTCTCAAGATCAAGGTCCTCAGGGTTTAGGGTTTATCAGAGTTTCTCAAGATGGGGCACCTGAACTTCGAGCACCCCCGCATGTGAAGGTCTCGGGATTGGCTTGCGGGTCGTGGAGCTGGGGCACATCATGTAATATAGGGGCCTAAACACTTAAAATATTTTTAACGCTACGCCGCCCGCCTCGGCTGTGTAGCGGCAGGGCGAGGGGGCAGTCGATCCCAACCTTTACACGGTTGTTGATACGAAGTGCGAGGAGAATGGGTAAGGGGGGGTGGAGGGGGGGTGGAGGGGGGGAGGGAAGGGGCCTGAAAGGGCCAAATCAGGTAAAATGAGGGGGGGGAGGCCTGGGAGGGGGGGTGGGAGGCCGACAAATCAGGTAAAATGAGGGGAAGCCGGGCAAGGGGGTGGCAAACGAACGCAAAAAACGGGTGTCCAAACATTTGGACTGCAGCCAGGATTAGGTGGAGGGTACCCGAGGTAAGACCCAAGACGCCTGGGCCTCTGGCCTCGGCGGATTACCTATACTCTTTTCGTGGGGTTCCCTATTATTACTATAAGATAAGGGGCCCCAAAACCAAATTCTGATTTGCCAAGGAGAAGTGGCGGCAGGTCTATTCCCCTCTCGTCAGATCGGTACCCTGGTACAGTGTCTAGGTGGCAACTTGAGAAACTTTTTAATTTTCCCTTATGGTTCCTATAGAGGTACCTATTCATAAATACTTTTCAGAGCCCCAAAACTACAACCCAGGTGTGTACGGCAACCATGACTACCACGCAGATCCCTGTGCCTGCAGTGAGGACCTGATTTGATGCTGCGATGTTGTTTCGCATCACCTCGCTCCTAAGCGACTCCCTGTTCTATTCTTCATAGCAGACTACTCTTGGAAGAAATGGTGAAACAGCAAGCCGCACATACTACAAGAAACCGGATTTGTTTAGCCACATCATTCTCAGGTCTTCTAGTTGCTGACTCCAAGAGACCGAAGTGGGCAGATCTGGCATGCATTCGCGGGGACCAACGCCACAGCCCACCTGTTCAACATGCAGTTACAAGTTACAACATCATGGACTGCGCCGATTGTACTTGACAAAAATGCAGTTGCATCTGCATATGTGGACAATGCTAAACACGCACGCCACTTCCTTGTTTGTATGTAAACGCATGCAGGCACGCCTGTTTGCCGTTTGCCTGCCTGGCTGTCTGTCTGTGTGCATGCATGGATGAATGTACGTATGTACGTATGTATTTGTGCACGCAGGTGTGTCTGTCTGCCTGCCTGGCTGTCTGTCTGTCTGTCTGTCTGTCTCCTTGCCTGGCTGTCTGTCGGCCTGTCATGCATGCATGTGCACGTACACCATCCTCCGGATGCAAATACATGCATACATCACGCATGCCTGCATACGTGATTGCACGCATACCTGCATACATACATGCATACATATGTATTTACATGCACAGAACTTCAGGTGTGATATGAAAGCCACCCGCAGCAGGACCCAGCGTCCTGCGCGCAAGTCAATGCGGACATTAACAACTTGGACTTCTTCTATATGCCGGACACATCCTTTCACCAGGCGGGCTTCCTATCTTCCTGCCAGTCCTACACACAGAATCTGCCACGGCCTTCGTATTTACACTTCCTGTACTGTATCTGTTGTCAAGAGTATTACCAGAATTGTCAGTACATCCTTCGTGATCGCTAGACTCTGCTGGACATTTGAGTACAGTCCATGCTTTTTGCTGCCATTTCCCTGAAGGGTTCACGAGCTCAGCTTTCGGATTAGGGCTAGGTGAATCTATGCTTTACCTGCCGCTAGAACTTAGTCGTTCCGAGTGCACTCACCCGACTTTAGGGAGTCCGAGCGTCTCTTTGACCTTTCATTCTGTACGTGGAAGCAGGTCTCGTTTATGGCGCAGGCGACAACTTTAAGTCCTGGGCAGTGGCCCGGGCAAACGTTTAAGCTTTCTACTGTTAACCTTCGGCGTCCCTCGGCTCGGTTCAAGAGCTTCGGCTAGGCTTGACGGCCGCTAATAGACTTTATCCCTTACCTCTGCAGAGCAAAACCACTGGCCCGGCACCCTCAACCCGAAGCCCTAAACCCTAAGTCACATAGTGTAGTCATTTTTCCATTTGCTCATCTCTCAGAGGAGCTGCCAGAGCTGGACACAGAGGTGATTGTGCTCGACACGAACTACCTCATGTGCTTCGGCCTCACAGAACCACAGGAGTCACCGCAAAGAAAGTCCCACGCTCCTAACTCGACGGTAAGCTTTCTACTCACTTCTGCGTACATCGCAAATGATATTCAGCTTCAGTCCTTAAAACAGGGGGTGAGGGAAGATTTAGCGCTCAGGCTTGCCAGGAAACCCATGTCAAGCCAGATGGCAGGTGAGCCCGAAGATTTCTATTTTATTGCTCAATTTCCCCTTCCTGTTGCTGCCCAGGTGGGTGAACCAGACCTGCCCTCACACGCCATGCCCGGAACAATGCAGCGAGACTCTGGGCAGAAATGTGGTGTAGTAGTCGTCATCGCGGTGGTGATGGTCGTGGTCGCGGTCGTGATGATAGTAGTAGTGGTTGTGGTGGTAGCAGTGGCAGCGGCAGTGTCAGTGGTAGCCGTAGTGGTAGCAGCGTCAGTACTGGCAGTGGTGGTAGTAGTACTAGTTACTAGTGCAAGTGGGTGGTGGTGGTGGTGGTGGTGGTGGTGGTGGTGGTGGTGGTGGTGGTGGTGGTATTCGTCGTAGTCGTAGGCACGGCTAATAGCCTAGTAGCTCCCAAGCCAGTCAGAGCTGCAGACTCTACTGTTTCGACGTGCTTCAGGAGGTGGGGTACCTTATTTTGGGGTCCTTATAAGAAGGATCCTACTGTTTGGGGTTCTATATGAGGGTCCCCTATTTTCGGGAACCCCCAAAGTGAGAGCTCCCAGGCCCAAGTCTGTATGGTTTTTAGCTCTGTCCTCCATACCCAGCCTCAGTGGTCGCAGCTGGAGATCTTATGTTCAAGGACTTAGTTATTAATATAGGGGCATTAATAACTACCTAAGGGTTCCTTATTATAACTATAGTATAACGGAACCCAGAACCCTATTCTAATTATTAAGGCCCCTATATTAGTTGCCAGCCTGTCAGTGCTGGAGGCATCCTGTCTCGGTGCGGAACACTTCCCAAATCCAGCTTGCCAGCGCAGCGAGTTCCGAAAATGACAGTGTGTAACTACCGGGGGGAGGACTACTAAGTCACAGTAACCTTTTCTAGCCGCTACACAACTTTATACTGAAATAGACCGCAAACCCTATTCTACTTATGATTACCCGATATGACTCGGCACCCTAACCGAACCCCCTAAGGCCCTAAGCCCTTAACCCTAAGCCCTAAACCCTAAACCTTAAACCCTAAGCCCTGAACCCTAAACTCTAAACCCTAAGCCCCTAAGCCCCTAAGCCCTAAACCATAAGCCCTAAACCCTAAACCCTAAGCCCCTAAGCCCCAAGCCCGAAGCCAGAAGCTCTAAACTCCTAAACCCTAAGTAAACCCTATCCCATAAACCTTCAGGAACATGAAGAAGCGCGCCTTTCAGGCCTTCGAGCTCTTCCAGGAAGGGTTCCCAGCATCTTCGGATCCAAAGTAAATCCAACATTGCTCGGGGTTTGTTTTTTTTTGGTTGTTGTATTTTTATTTTTAAAGGGGTTTAGGGTTTTGGGGCTTCGGGGTTTAGGCATGAGGGTTATGGGTTGAGAGGTGTTGGGTTTAGGGTTTCAGGGTTTAG